AGGTGGCTCAGTGGTAGAGCGCTTGCCTTGCATGCCTGAGGCCCTGGGTTCGATTCCTCAGCACCACATAAGCAAAAAGAAAAAAGCCGGAAATAGCGCTGTGGCTCAAGTGGTAGCGTGCTAGCCTTGAGCTAAAGAGCTGAGAGACAGCGCCCAGGCCCAGAGTTCAGGCCCCACAACCGGACCCCCCCCAAAAAAATAAATAAAATCAAAAATAAAAATACTATATTAGTTTTGTTTTTAAAAACAAAATTAAATTCTTATTAAATTCTTATTCATGGGTAAGTTAAGTTATAACAAAATATAGTATTTCTTCCTTTGTTCTCACCTTGTACTTGAGAGAAGACACAGTAACAGAGTATAAACTACTTGTGTGATCTCTATGTTTTATGTTTAAAGATAAGTCCTAAAATAGAATTTTTGTGCTTTTTCATGAAACACTACAAATTCATAAACAGTAATCTAGCAAATAGCTGTGAATTATGCTGAAAATCACGTGAGAGTCATGCTTAGCTTGCTGCTTAAGAATAGATCTTAGAGTTAAATCTGGTTTTAAAAAATGGATAATTTCCTCCTATATAACTAATGAGTTTTTCCAAGCTTTTGGATGGCAGAAGTTGGTAACATGCATTTGAGTCCTGGAAAATACATCTCAAATATTTATTTTGAAATTTAATTTTACCCATTGTCTCACATGGAAATGAACTACAGTAGATTTACTTGAAGTACTGCTAATAAATATTTAAAGACATAACATTTCTTTTTATAGGAATTGGCCCACGGATTAAGTGAACTTTTATCATATGAAGGCAATGTTGAAGAAGATTTCTATTCAACATTTCAGGTACTACAAAGGACATATAGCTGTTAGTCTGCCATATACTTTATATATGAAAGAAGTCATATGTACTAAACAGTCACCATTAGAAAAGATGAAAAATCCCCTTCTTAGAGGATGTTAACATGATAGAGACACCTAGAGAGACACAAGTAGATGAGAACTTGACAAAACTGCTTCAAGATAATCCACTAGATATTCTCTTGATTCAGTTACTCAGACTTTCAACCTCTCAAAATAAGCCTCTCCTGTACTGTCACCACAAGAAGTTAAGAGTTGAAGCTGATGGGTCAGACTAAAACACTGTTATTCCCACTGCTCTTAGAATAGTCAGAAGGTAGATGTTATAGTGATCTACATAGCTCCAAAGACCTGAGTATTGGGTCTGGGTGACACACAAATTTTGTGGCTACCATTAAAGTATTAAATTGTATTTCCATATAGGATTAAGGCACCTTTTTTTTTTAACTCCATGATACAAAAAGGATGAGAGAGTGGCTCAAGTGGTAGAATGCCTGTCTAGTAAGTCCATCACCCTGAATTCAAACTCTAGTACTACAAATAAATAAATAAACAAAATGCCACAATTGTTTGGCCTTTCTGTAGTTATCTTTTTGATGGGAGAAGAAAATTGTTCTTTTTAAATTTTAGAAACCTGTTCAATTGAAGCCTGTTATTGAACCAATAATATAACTAATATCCTATTATGATACTTCTCATCAGGTTTTTCAGGAAGAATTTGGAATAATTAAGTCTTATAACTTAAAGCCAGGAGGTGATAAAATTCCAGTTACCAATCAAAATAGAAAAGGTAAGTTACACACCACTTTTAATTAAAATGAATTAGTGTTTATTTACTGTTTACCTTTTCTATATAACAGATGTACAATTGCTTTCCAGAATATGTGCAGCTTTATATTGACTTCCTTCTCAACAAATCTATCTATAAGCAGTTTGCTGCATTTTATTATGGATTTCATAGTGTATGTGCTTCAAATGCCCTAATGGTGAGTTTAAAACCTTAAATTGAGCTTTCAATTAGGTTTTGTAATGGTATAACTTAGACAAATAAATATTTTAAAATTAGAATTTTTAATTTAAATCTTTTAAAAATAATTAGAAACAAACACAGCTTTCTCTAAAGTTATTCATGCACTTCATTTCTTCCCCTTCTGCTGTTAGTATAGCCTTTATAGCTTTCCCCAAGGACCAGCTGCCAGTGGCTTATACCTATAATCCTAGCTACTCAAGATGTTGAGATCTGAGGATCATGGTTTGAAAGCCAGCCCAAGCAAAAAAGCCAGCAAGACTTATCTCCAGTTAACCAGGAAAATGCTGGGGTGGAAGTGTGGCTTAAGTGGCAAAGCATTGCTATAAGTGAAAAATCTAAGCAAGAGTACAAGGTTCCAGAATCAAGCACTGAAATAAACACCCCCAGCACCCCCAAAAAAAGTTATCCCAGTTTATTACAGAGGCTTTGAAGTTGCTATAATTCTAATAAGCTAGTTGGGAGATGGAGATTGAGAGGCTCATGGTTCAACATCAGCTGAGGCAAAAGTTCGCAATACCCCCATCAAAATTAATAAAAGCTGAGTATAGTTACACACCTGTCAACCCAATTATGCAGAAAGCATAAATAGAATCATAGTCCAGCTATGAAAGCCAGAAGGACTGGAGGTATGGCTCAAGTGGTAGATCAGAGCATCCGCCTGGCAAATGCAAGGCCCTGAGTTCAAACCCTGGTACAATAATAATTTTAATTATATAAATTAAGAAAAAACTTTACCCAGATAGAAACCCAAGGGACAATGCCACTTGGATTCCAAGTAAAAGCCACAGTTTTCTCACTGCTAACTGCTTCCTACTTCCTTAAGATTCCTTTAGTGCCGGTTGCAGGTGGCTCACTCCTGTAATCCTAGCTACTCAAGAGGCTGAGATCTGAGGAGCACAGTTCAAAGACAGCCCGGGCAGGAAAGTCTGTGAGACTCTTATCTCCAATAAACTAGAAAACATGAAGTGGTGCTGTGACTCAAGCGGTAGAGCGCTCACCTTGAGCTGAAAGGTGCAGGGACAGCACCCAAGCCCAGAGTTCAAGCCCCACACGGTTGTTTTGACCATGTAAATTTGGGGTTGAATACTAGAAATGTCATATAAAACCCTTTAGCTACTAAGGACAGAACTCCATTATGCCACTTGTTGATTATTTTTTCTTTTTCTTTTCTTTCTTTTTTTTTT